CCGCCACCCCTCACAGCCTCACCGGGGCCTGCCTCTCCCCTGGGGCCTAGCCCCACCCCAGACCCTGACACTCACCTCTTCAACCCTCTCACTCAGGGCGAGGTCGGAGTCCCTGGTTCCAGAGGAGAGGATGGTCCCGAGGGGCCGAAGGGTCGCACTGGACCCACTGGAGACCCTGGGCCCACTGGGCTCATGGGCGAGAAGGTGACGGGGATGAGGGACCTGTGTGTTCTCCAGGGATATGGAGGGGCTGCGGGCCTGGGCCCAGGGATCAGGGTGAGCATGGGTTGCCAACAGCTGGAGCAGTCAGCCAATCGAAGACGACCGTGCATTGATTATGCTCCTCCTGTATGTGGCACCTCCTGGACACTGGTGGGTTGAGGGGTGATGGATAAGAAGCCAAGGAAAAGTCCCCGTCCTGAGGAGTTTACAACTGATTGACGGGGACAAGGCGTGGAGGCCGCCACAGGGTGGCTGTAGGTGCAGGGCAGAGTGCGAATGTGTCCAGACTCGTGCATGGGAGCTCTGAGAGGAGAGGCAGAAGCTGGTGAGCGGGCAGAGATGCCCGGGCGAAGGCTGCACCATCTGGCCTCACAGAGGCCCCGGGAAGTTAAGATGCTCCCTAGTTGTGCAGCCGGTGAGTCAGAGCAGGGTGTGAGCCCATGCAGCCAGGTTGCAGAATCCCAGCGCAGCCCGCAGCTGCCTCCTGACAGCCCTGCAGCGTGGGAGGCAGGGGTGCATGGGAGTGAGTGGGGTGCAGAGCAGGAGCAGAGGGCAGAGCTGTCCCCAGCCATGTTGAGGCCAGCACCGGGCAGGGGCAGGCACCTGTGCTGGGGAAGGTGGAGCCGAGGGTGACAGGCAGGGACTAGGTCACAGCCCCTCAGGACCCGATGGAGCTGGAGCGGCAGACTTTAGTCCCCAGACACCAGCAGGCAAGACCCCAGCCCGCTGGGGAGGAGAGCTTACCAGGCTGCAGCCCTGGGCCAAGATGAGGGGCTGGGGTCTGATGGGCGTGTTGCTGGGTGGGGGTGGCTCCGGCCCCTGACGGTTGGGGTCTCCAGGGATGGAGGGTTGTCTGTGGCTCCTCCAGCTCCTCATTGCTCCCCGTCCATTCCGCAGGGCAAGCTGGGTGTTCCTGGTCTGCCTGGCTATCCCGGACGCCAGGGTCCCAAGGTGACGTGATGCCCCACTCGTACCCCCCCCTCCTGTCCCTCCCAGGACACCGGCTGACAGAGCGGTGGGGTCCCACGGGGGAGGGAGCAGGCCCGAGAGCAGCAGGGTTTG